TTTCATTTTTTTAGATCTATGCGAAGTATTTTTATATACCAGATTCCTGATTGACGGCTTTTTCAACGTTTGAAATCACGATTTTCTATTATTCTAAATGTTTTGAATGAATTTCACTTGTCACCCACTTTGTGCATGATAGTAGTATATCGCTCCTTTAGAAGTATAATTCAAAGGGTCATTAACCTTGGTCCCAATAAGCCCCTTCAAGTATGTTTAATATCTACCAATCTTGGTCATTCATCCCTTACCTGTAAATTTCACAGGCATTGTGCATTATTTATTTATTTATATCAAATGGCAGGCGTCTTGATGGTTATCATTAGCATTATTTGAAGTGATGTATTGGAGGATACTTGTCAGACGCCTATCTCTGCAGAGAAAGGCATTTATGACGAGTCCTTATCTAAATAACGTCCTGCCTTCCAGCAAAGCAGCTGTGGAAACTTTGGCATATTGAGTCAATCTTGTGGTTTAGAGCAGATGTCAGATGTAGGCACAGAATGAGAATTCTGGTGAAATAACGAATCGCGAAAAACACTAGTGACAAAGTACAATTTCTTTCTTTCATTTCAACGAGCAGGTCCTCAATGCCCAAATCTTAATTGTTACCTTAAATGGATTTTGTTTTGGCAACCCTATTCTACCCACCCTTTTTTCTCGATTTTAGGTAAAATCTACTGCCAAGCTCAACTTTCAACTATTCCTCCACAAGTTACATGCAGCCGACCCTGTGAAAGCGTAGATCAAGCAAGATTAGACGCTGCCTATAAATGTCTCATTTACCTGCACACGATGTCCCAAAAGAACCCCGTTCTAGATGAAAAGTTATGGTTCGAGAGGACTTGTATTTAATTATACATGTAAATACAACTTTATGTACAGAAGTGTTGCCTCTTGCTGGTATTCTATCAAACAATTTTGACGTTAGATCCGGGTTTGTGGGCCAATTTAACAACTTTCTCGAGAGCAGCCTTTTGATCATTAGTTTTAATAGCCAGAGCAGCTCGCAGCTTACGTCTACCCGCTCGGACACGCATAAGCTTCTTTCTATGACGGCGCTTGTCTGTGGAGGTGATCTCTGAAGCTCCTTTCAGGGGCTCCCCTCGGGGTTCGAGGATCTCTTCGGGAGCAAGAAGGTCGGCTTCTGCCAATGCTGTGGGTCCAGCCTCCTCGAGAGCTATGGACTGCTTGTTCGTCAGAATGTTATAACCATCCACACGCTAAAATAGTACAATAGACACAATTGACATTTCGACCATGCACTAGGTAACAAGTATACTTCGAAGAAGAGTTCTTTATGGGACCTTCGATGAGTTATCGAATTACTTTTAAGACTAGGACTTAGAACCCAATGAAAATCGGTTAATACTAATCGAACCACGCAACTTATCCGGGCAGCTGATGTGATGTGGCCGCAAAATGCTCTTAGTTGGAAACCACATATTTGGTACACTAGCAGCAATCAAATGCGTTAAAAGGTGATAATAGGGATTAAATTCACTTAATTAGTCATCATTGTTTTAAAAGTAAAACTGAACTAACGGAATAGCTGGTTTCGATTTAACTGCACTTATTCACAAGTCTAGGACTTATATATAACTAAAAATAGCAAATAAAAACTATATTTTTATCAAATTTAATCTAACTGTTATTGGACTAATTCAGAATGCAAACACAGAAACATTCGAAAACTTCGAACGTGAATTGGATAAAGACAAAAAAAATTGGGATCATTAAGTGAAGTCTCTAAGAGACACTCTACTTCAAAGCTTGTTTAATTTCTAATAGTAAAACCGAAAGAAAAACATAATTTCTACTTAAAACCAAACAGGTAAGCTATCCACCAACTAACATAAATAAACCGAATATGGAACAAAAATCTTCGATTCCATTATAAAAATCTACACATTTAAATGAGACAGACAATTTAAATACATGATTACTATAATATAAACAAAAACGGTTCTTACCTTCTTTGGAACAAAGTGCATATTCGATAGGGCGTCAAGGTTGTCAAATAGACCGACAATATCAAGACGCAGTTGTTCTTTTTCCGGATCTTCCTGGGATGCCTCCAATGCTTTAGCCTTTACATAGAGATTCTCATACTCCTCAACAAGAGATCTCTTAGTTGTATCGGTAAACTGGTTAGATACAGGCTTAGTTTTAATTTGCGATTTAACCCTTGGCTCAGGTCCATTAAATGACTGAATTGATTAAGCGATTAAGTTAAATCGACATACTTGTTGCTTAATTTTAATTGCCAGAAGATCAAATATTAATTTTGATTCCATAGGCTCGGGTTCTAAGGAAGTTTAAAAAAGCAAAAATCTAATTACTGAATATGGCGTTGCGTTGAACTTCAAAGTGCTCAGCCAGAAGTGCATTTTCAGACCTGTCCTTTGCGGAAACTTCGCCATGCAAAAACCATGGTTTCTTTCCGAGCAATTTACTTTCAAGCCTATCCACGTCGTCATCGAGCTAAAACTGTTAACAATAAACAAAAAATACCTTTGATTTTAATCTCTGAAGATCCATTAACTTCTATTCGACTAAAAATATCGCTTTGAAACTTGTATGCACACGTGAAATCCACAAGAATGAAGAACCCCAAAGCTCTAAAAATTGCATGAATGACAGGTAATTAAAACGAAGCTATAATAAGACGGTCTATTTATAGCCCTATCAAGCAATCTAAATAAGAAGAATTATTATTTTGTTTTTTTTAAATTATTCAAATGTTTTCGGTCGTTGCACTGATGAATTATGGTTGTTTTATAAAACTGTTTAGTCTGCGTTTATTATAGACAAATTAAGTTTCAAATTATTGCCCCATTTCAGACTTGAATATTGATGTTTATTTTTTACTTTAAATTATAATGTT